GCGAAGATGCGCACCAGATAGCTTCACTTTGCTCCATATAGGCCCCACCAAGGCCAACATAGGCGAGAGAGAGACAGAGAGAGAGAGAGAGAGAGAGAGAGAGAGAGAGAGAGGCGGCAGGACATGTGCAAGACGGCTCTCCCGACTTCGGCGTATACTAGGTATACGCCCGGGCGGTCAGCCCCCCTTCTCGAGAAGGATGCTACCGGGACGCCCGAAGTCCCGGCCCCCGTCTTGCACAGGGAGGGGTTGTTCGGCCCCCCCACCGACTGAAGATGTAGACGGTGTGCACCTGGCGAGAACGAATTCACGGACATTGCACTCTGCGCGCATCGTTCACAGTTTCACAGTTCCTTGCAGTCTCACCGCTCTTGCAGCGCTCGCTGACCGGTCTTTTTTTGCTGCTACGGCCTGGTTGTTGTCATGAAGTTGACTGCGTGAGCCATGCTCTTGCGGAGGCTAGAGCGAAGGCGTAAACGCACCAAGGATTACGCGATTGGACGCACACAGCGTCTAGGCTCTCGACGGTGGTGGCATGGCGGGGGTTGGTGATTAGACGTAGTGCTGCCTAGAGTGGTTATGTGGGCGGACTATGTTGGAGTTTCTATCTAATGTGGACTGTGTGTGTTGCACTTCGCAGCTTCCGCATGCTGCTTTCCTGGCATAGGCTTCTACGCTTTGGGACGCCTTTGCCTGGGCACTGGGTTGTTCGGCCCTGTAGACGGTGTGCGCCTGGCGAGAACGAATTCACGGACATTGCACTCTGCACGCATCGTTCACAGGTTCACAGTTCCTTCCCGTTTGCTCTGCAGTATAGTGCGTGAGATGCGACACACTCACAGTCTTATTGCACTCTCTGCACAAACCTTGTTTGGAAGTGGCTGCGACAGGGGCAGCAGCACACTTTTTGCAGCGAACGCGTCGCAGTTCCTTAGTTTTTTTGCGTCTGACTTCTTCTGGGTCGAAGTCTGTCAAGCGTTTTGTTTTGATTTTCTTTCCTTGGTCACATCGGCTGCGTTCTTTTTTTACACACTTCGAACAATAGCCGGTTTTGTTGGCTGGTCTGGCTTCGGGGCAATATGGACAAGGATGCGTTGCTGCAGGGTGACTGGGTGGTTGTGTTCCGCTCTGCTTAGCTTTGCATTGGAGGCATAGGCGACACACACCTTCGGATAAGACTTGGTACCATTCGTCCTGGTCCCACGCTGTTACAAATTCTCACAGAGGCAGTAACTTCTCTTGTCGATGTGGCTGTGGGCTGCATCCGCGGCAAAACAACATGATGTCACGATTTCTTTTCTTGCTCGGCTTGTCTTCACTGAATCGAGCCTTTGCTTCTTGTGGAGTGAGTTTGCAGCGATGAACTTATAGAAAAGTGTGTGGGCCTATCAATTCCCCATTGGTGAACAAGTTGGGGGAAAAGGGTTGGCATATACACAAGTCCTCTGCTTTCCTGACCCGAGACAGGCACATGTAGCCGCTGAGTTGAGCCTCACGGGACGCGTTGGAGTCCCAGTGGCCGAGATCAAGTGCGCACGCTTCGAGGGTTGATCCCATGAAGGAATGCGCTGTCCCTGCGAAATCGCAGGCTAGTGGGAAACCTCGTCGAGACACTGTGGCTTTACCGTTGGTTTCCAGGGACCACGTTTGTGTCACTGCTTCCAAGCGCGCAACTCCTGGTGGTAGTTGTGCATGTTGTTGCCACACTTGCCCGGGGACGTGGACATACAGAGCTACAGGCCTTCGATGTTATCTGCGTCGTTCTGCGACGCTGCTTCGGCGTCCATTTCATGTAGCGTCCAATTCCAAAGTGTGCCCCGAGTATTTTTGAAGAGGCCGAAGGCCTTTAGTTCTGGCAAGGTTTGCGTGATCCTGACGGGCATGTTTTGCAGCAGCGGCAACAAACCGACAACTCTATTCGTGGACTGGTCGTGGCGTTGCAACCAATTCTCCCGCCGGGCTGGTAGTTCGGCAGGTTCGACGTGAAAGAGTGGCGTATCCTGGGCTACTATCCATAGCAGTTTTTCCCTCCGGGTGGCTGCCACTTGGCGAGCACGAAGGTTGGCGGCTATGTATTTTGCTGCGTTGAGTCCATGCGCAAATGGATTGTTGAGAAACTTTGGGCTTTTCTGATCTTTGCCGACAAGACACCTACGCTGGCGTTCGGATCGACACTGCTTGCATTCAAGCGGTTGCTTGTGAAGGGCCGCAGCTTGCAAACGCAGGTCGGCGCAAGTTGTCTGGCCGCACTCGACCGTGTGGGTTTTGAAGTTCCAGGAGCCTGCGCGCAGAGTCGGAAAGCGATGCAAAAAAGACCAAATTTCTTGAGTCATGCTTCCGTGGCGTGCATGTTTCAGGACGACGCTGAGCCATGGGTCTTCACAGCGTTGTTCTTTGGTCAGTTCGAACAAGTGTCGCATAGCTTTTGTGCTATGTGTCCAAAACAATTTCTGCAGGGCTGCAACTTGAAAGCTTCCATTTTCCACAAAGGGTTTTGGAAAATGGCGGTGGCTTTCACCGGGGGGAACTGCCAAAGGTCGCCGGTCAAGATCAGGTTCATACCTGCGAATGGCCTCTTTTCTCCTCCGGGGCGGACTTTGCAAGTATCTCTGTCTTGAATCGATTGTTGAAGTTTTTTTTCGACGGTGGCTAGAATTTCTAGGCCTACGGTCGAGATTTCTTCGCTCGGACACGGATGTTAGCGAAGGCATGGAGTGTCACGCCGCCGATGAGTGCGGCCTGGGTGTTCTGCGGGGCTAAGAATACGAATTGTTGCTGATGTTCCCATTGACAAGCTTCTTCGAAAAAGCTGCGTAGCCACTTCAAAGTTTGGCTTTTGCCTGCCCCTGGCACTCCATGGAAAATTGCTCGCAGCGGCTCGGTTTTGGCCGTGCCCGCGCACTCTTCGGCGGCCTCTTGCAGACTGCGTTGGATGACAGCGCGCACGAACTTAAGTTGTTCAATGGTGGGTTCGCAGTTGCCGTCAGCCCTCTTCAACTTTGTGAGCCATGCTTCCGCTTCTGCCGTCAAGTTTCCATATGTCCACGTCAAAAACTGCTCTGGAGGTGACTGGGTATGTGCGTGAGCGATGCTCTTGCAGTGATCTGGTTTGATGTTGGGCATGCCGGTTTTGACGGGTTTCAGTGGTGAGGTGTTGTCTTCGGAGTCAAGTAAGTTTCCATTCCTCGATAATTTCATGGACTGCAGCGCTGGAGCGTTTCGAATACTCAAATCCGACTCCAGTGATGAGCCGATCAATGGTTTCGTTGCTGACCCTAAGAGGTATCCACCTCTAACTTTTCTTGGGTGGACGGCGGCTCTATTGCGTCTGCCTCCTCGGGATCACATTCTGTGGCTGCAATGAAATTTTGAATTGCATGCTCTGAGACAATGTGGTTGGCGACGTACTCTTGCCAGGCCACGTGGTGGTTTCTTTCGCCGGCCGCACTCTTTGTGTGGATGCGGGTCGGGCGACGAGCGCTCCTGACTGCGAAGGGCAAGTCCAATGCTGCTATGCGGGGTACGTGAAGGGTAGAATTTTGGAGGTCTAAAGTCCACGGCCGAAGATAAACATTAAGCAGCTTAGCTTGGGATTCTCGTGCCATATCGGATTTCGGCAATGGACAGACTGTGGGGTATGGGACGCACGGCTCGCGGCGTCGTTCGAGATAATGGTCTTGCGCAGCTCGACACTGAGGTGTTTCCGGCAGGCGAAGAACGGTGTCACGCAGGACAGCGGGCAACGGATCCTTCCAGACAAAATCTCGTCCGAATTTCCAGCCGTCGGCCGGTTGTTGGTCTTGCCCCATTTACCCAAACGCTCAGTCCTGTGTCGGGGTCGGCGCTTTCTCCGCGGGGAGGCTGTAATTTTTTCACAGTCCACCATTTCACGAACTCCCACGGCGACAAGAACCACACTCTTGGATCTGTGC